TCACTTGTATAAAATAAAATTGAACCTCTACCTCTGTAATGAACAATTTTCATATTCATTACCTAGCTGATTGGCTATATTTAGTTAAGCAAAAACTATCAAATTCTTTACACGCTTGTATGTGTAAAATATTAGCTGATTTCATAAACAATTAAAATACAAAAAGAACATTGTTATTCCCATCTCGTGATCACGTCCATGCTAAATTTTATCCTTATCTAAATATTTTATCTGTACCATATAACGAATTACTGGTACATTCTTCTGTTTTAAAATACACGGTCCCTTAATGCTACGCGAAATTTTAAGCCAACCAAAGGAATGGTACTCAACTTAATGTAAAATTGCCGATCACTGAACCAAAATAACCAAGCAGCAAAGGAAATCGGATTGTAACATACATTCAGTTGCTCCTGACTCCTTTGGCCAGTATTTTAACTCGGTCTATTGCAATGATAAAAGCATTTATGCAACCAACTTTCCGAATGACCGTAAAGTTATCTCGAACAATATGTTCACACTAAATAAAATTACAGCAGAAGACTTCAGAAATGCTATTAAAAAATTAAAACCAAAAAAAGCAGCGGGTAATGACATGTTTCCTCCATATATAGTAGGAGGTTCTTCAGAATGGCTCGAAAAACCACTACTTCATATATACAATCTAGCAATTAAGACGAAAACCTTTCCCGATATGTGGAAGGAATCGATTGTCGTACCAATTCACAAATCCGGGAATAAGAAATTGGTTGAAAACTACCGACCTATAGCAATACTTTCAGCGCCCGCTAAACTTTTTGAACTAATATTGCATACAAAACTGTTTATTCATATAAAACCTTCGTTAGATGATTCCCAACACGGGTTCGTGTCCCACAAATCTACTTTAACAAACCTATTAACTTTCACTAATCACGTCCAGGAATCTCTAGACTTCAAACAACAAGTTGACGTGATCTATACAGATTTTACCAAAGCTTTCGACAAAGTGGACCACGATTTGTTACTGGGAAAACTGTATTTACATGGACTAACTCTCCATTGGCTAAATTTTTTTGCTTCATATCTAAAAAATCGCACCTTCAAAGTAAAATTTGATGGTAATACTTCAGGAAAGTTTGAGGCCAATTCAGGTGTACCTCAAGGGTCCAACCTAGGACCACTGTTGTTTTTGATCTTTATTAACGATTTGCGTATGTCCATAATTACCTCAAACTCACTTATGTTCGCAGATGACTTAAAAATCTATTCTGAGCTCGTCTCTGTTGAGGATTGTAACCTCCTTCAAAAGGACATAGACCGTCTACTTAAGTGGAGCCTTAACAATAAACTTCCACTAAATATCTCCAAATGCCTAGTTTTATCTATATTTCGCACCAGAATCAATATAAGATTCGATTACGAATGTTTGGAACAAAACTAAAACGAGTGGAATCTATCAAAGACCTTGGTGTTGTGTATGATTCTTCTCTCAACGTTAATAAACACATTGAAAACATTGCTACTAGCGCTTACAAAATGTTTTGTTCTTAGACAATCTGCTAATTTTAAATGCATTCGTACGTTAAAAATCTTGTACTTCACGCTGGTCAGACCCAGGCTAGAGTATGCATCCGTAGTTTGGCATCCCCATACACTTTACCAAATAAAACGCATCGAAAAAGTTCAAAATAGATTTCTAAGATTCCTATATTTAAAAAAAAATAACACCTACCCCGAATTTAATGTTAGATCTGCAGATCTCAGGCATGAATTTGAAATACAAAGTCTTGCTAATCGCAGAAGCATAACTTTGGTACAGTTTGGTCATAAACTATGGAATAATCTAGTGGACCAAAGCTATCTGCTATCCTTAATGACTCTTAAAGTTCCTAAGGACGACACGTTCAACTGATATGTTCCACATTCCGACGACTACTTTTCGCTTCCACTCACCCCTCTTAGCTATGTTGCGTTTGTTGAATCAGTTGCTAACGTCAATAATTGATCTTGATTTATCGTTGCCGTTTAAAAAATTTTCAAAACTTGTTATCGTCTACTATTCGTCTAATTAAAACTCCTTGGGACTCTGCAATATAGTGACATACAATAGTACAGTTTGATTTTAGGCTTTCTCAATTGTTTAAGTTAGTTTACATTTCATGTAATTAGGCGTACGCCTGTTTGGAATGAATAAATAAATAAATAAATAAATAAATAAAATGGATTTGACTTTTATCACTAAATACCATACAATATCTGTTTCTGCAAATAATTGGCACAGGTCAGTTTCTTTGGGAATATCAAAATTACTTCAAAGTTCGTTTATGAAAATTTCTAAAAATAATAGACCACTACTTCTATACACATCAAAAAAATTTAAATAACACAGTAATTGGCGTGGATAATAACCGTTTCTGGTAAGGAATTGATATTATCTCTCTTTGAGAAGTTAGCTTCACTTAGAAATGTAGAAATAGATCGCTCCTGTAGTGGACAGCCGAACTTCCTGCACCGCTTCGGTAAGTTTATCTTTGGCATGATGAATCCAAACAAACCGGCTTCAATTTCGCGAAAGTAATATTCGAAATCGTGACTACACACAGAAATAAAATGGCAATGTTCCTCTGTGTCGGTATTTAATTTAGGCCAATTAGGTAAGCTTTTTTTGTAAGTAAATGTAAGTAAAGTATCAACTAACTGTGTTTAAATTGTGTATACAAAATGTCATTTATCGCACAAGACAGTGCCCAAATGTGTTACTCAACTTTGTACACTTACTTTTAACCACTAGTTACTGTTAGCGATGCGAAAAAATCTTTTATGTTTATCACAATGAGTTTAATTCAGTTTTATTTAATCTTGTTTCTATTTGAAGAGTGCGTCTCCAATTCGAAACTGAGGGCCTTGTGGCAAATAGGACTTTCAATTTTTAATGTAAAATTAAGTCTTGCAGGCAGTTGGCACTTTTTTATCAAAAGGAGTTTCTTAACGATACGATAGAAAAAAAGTAGCAGCGAAAATAAAAAAATTCTCACACCAAAATAATACTTGCGAACTCCTTGAAAGGCTAAGCTCGTCTCTGTCTAAAGTCTCCGCAGACACGGTCTAGCCGATGCTTATCTCATAATGCACATCTTGTTATCGCTTTTTATATCTAGACGTACATTCGTTCATGCTCGCTATGAAGCGGTACATGTGTACACTTTCTTAGCTTCACCAAAATACAAACTCAAAATCAAATTTTTGAAAATGGCTAAAGCGACCACTTGTTATAGTAGGTGTTAAAGAAATAGTTCGATGAAATATACCGATCATTTATCATGCTCTCAACAATATTGTGTAGTTTTCCAACATCCTTCTGAAAAAGAAGCTTTCTCTAAATTATCACTGAAAAATTCTAATGGCTCTTACATCATAACAGAACCTTTTGTGCAATGGGAGAAATTGTGACAGTGACACAATGTAGTCGATAAGCTGCGTTTTCGTTTTATTCTTTAACCTTAAGCGTGTATAGTAGTACCTAATGGATAACAAAATAAAATGCTCATGTAACACTACATAAGAATGAGGAAATGTAAATTATCCTTTACCCATCCTATTATCATCTATACCGACCGAATATTAAAAGTCATTTCTGGCAGCCCTCTGTGGCCGGGGTAAACTACCCCAGAAAGAAATTCACTAACAATCTCACAGAGCATGGGTCCGTGCGAGACCAAGTGAGAGTGAGAGTGTATTTATGCATAAACAAAAGGTGGGGATCTTCTAACTGTTTAGGGTGTTGTAACGATTCAAATATCGTGTACGAATATTTTTGAAGCGTAGTTGAGTATTTATCTGGGTCAAACATTTCCAATTGTTTTGGGACTCGTTTATACCGACGCAAGGAATTCTTCTTAGATAAATCACGTACAGCAGAACTACTGGTCCCTAAAAACAGCATGTCCAAGTTTTATAAACTTGGTAATCTTGGCAAACTCTCTGTTTTGTTTGGTGGTTTCAATTGGTCATATTCAGTTGAAATGACTTTAGTGACTGACATCAATTAAAACAAGAACATTGTGCATATGCACGTTCATTTGTAATGATAAATCGATTATACAAATCGGGATGCGCAGGAATAGTCACAAAGTATCAAGTTTAAAATATTTACAGAGCACTTTTGTATACAATCCAAAAACAAACGGTGCAATACGACTTTTTTTAGACATCATCGAGTGCTTTGGCTACATCTTAGTGTAATTCTATTCTTACACTATGGCTACATTTATAAAACTTTGTATAAAAGATTGTCTAACAGCATCAGCTGAAGTATAATGTAGATATTTAAAAGGGTACAAGGAGATACTTAATCAAGATGCTTTTAATCTTCTGTTTCAAAGAAGAATCCGTTTATCATTTATAGCGACAATTATGTACGAGCTTTCAATATCTCAACCTTTATAAATTGTAGGTAAAGGTTTCAGTGCCTTGAATATCTCCTTTGCTTTTATACTTATTTTTACACACTCTTCTTATTGATAAAAATTGTAGCGCTTTTGCATCGCCTTGCGAATACGAGGGGAAGAGTGCCTAGAGCTGATATAGATAGAATATTGATGTATTTCTCAGAGTGAGTGATCACCGTCTTATTGGAAGAAATTTTAGTAATATTTAAAAATAAATTTTAATACAGACACCGATCTCAAATATGTTCGTAACCTATATTTTATACAAACAATATATTGAAATTTCTCTTAGAGAATATAGCATCATAGTCTAAATCGCCTATCTACTACTTGTCTTTCCAACACAACCAATTATTAAGTCATCAAATACAAAATTGCAAAGAATTGGAAAACTAAGTAGACTGATTTACTTATTTTCGTAATACGAGTATATTGATCAAAAGTTTATAATTAGTTTCTGCCCAAAGCCACCATATAGCAATAACACTTTATATAGTACTGCAAAAGTCAAGTAATAATAATGCAGTATGCAACAATATAAATTACCATCTATAACCATTTTTCTTATAGTTTACAGAATGAGTGAGGAACGGGCAAGGGGCGGCCAGCGACCGCGCTAGACATGCAGCGGTTGCGGACCACATTCAAGCGGTCGCGCACACCAACTGGTAATGAAATGAAAACACAAAGTAGCCTTGAGGTACCAAAACAAATTCGATCAGCATCCTTCGATGAAATTCAAGCCAAAAGGCTGCAAGATGGAGGTCAATCACCAGACCCAAATTCTTTTTTACGCGTTCCAATACAATTCCCCGGAACACGTTCCAAGAGTGTTGACTCTGGAGGGAGCGAAGAATCCGGAAATTATTTGGAGGTACCGCTACGCCGCTTTCAGCGGCGACGGTCGTCCAGTACTAGGGGTCCAAATTGTGTCCATTGTATTTGTCTTGAGGAGTATAATAAACGAAAATCATTAGAAGAGCCAATAGCAGACTCGTTAGACTATCGTTCCTTCAGCATAAGCGATACATCGTCGAGCGAACCAGAAGAAGATCCCGTTTTGCCCGAATGTTCCATTACGGTTACACTATCACCAAATTTCCTTGCACCCCCCATCCAATCTCCTCCACCACTTCCAACATCGCCGGTAATAGAATGCTTTCTTGCGGAAGACGAGCCCACGCCACCAACACCAGCGCGCAGAAAATCAATACAACGACAAGAGGCTTTCTTTGGAGAACCCACAGGAAACTCACTAGAAAACATGTCCGATGTTCCATCGGAACCTATTTCGGATGGAACTTCCGAAGGCGCGCTATCAGAAGGTGATACCGCCACCATTCCCGGTGTAGTAGTTCGTGATATTTACTTACAAGTACCTGATTTGAAACGAGATCGTGCCGCTTCAGTGGATTCTTGTTTTTCGAAAGTATCGCAAGGTAAAACGGAAGAATTGCAACACTCGGGAGTTAGTTTAGAAGTTCCGGTTGGACCTAATGTTGCGTTACGTTCGAGATCGGTTGATATTGTGCTTCCTACGGACGAACAAGCTCGGTACAAGGCCTTGGCGATGGCTGCACCGCCTAATACTACTGTAGCCGAACCTAGAGGGTATGTTTGATGTCACGTTGTAGCATGTTTATCTGGCACCGGATTACGTACCACATGAATGCTTTATATGTCGTACGCATTTATTCTACTATTATTTTACAACTGCATGCAATCGAGAGAAAAGAAAAAGACTTCACTTCGTGGAAAATTCTGTACATAGTGTCGTTATTACTACTCTTTACTCTTTTTTACGTCACGTTACTAGTACGATTTTTGCGATGAATAAATTGGATTGGTTAAAAAACGTAAAACTGCTTAGTTTCGGCTTGAAGATAAAATGAGTTTCATTACATTCTTTTATAATTTCAATTTTTCCTTCTCACATTAAACTCGAGATACTACATATGTTCATTATTTAGCAGTCTGAATAATGAACTTTTCGTAATACTACCCAGTGCAATAATTCTTATATACCTAGTAGGATTTTCCTTAGTTTGCAGTAAGTCATCGGTTTATCAGTAAGTACGTTTATATAGCATCATGCAATCCAATGGAAGAGAGGCAGCCATACACACAGTGCTGCATTGTGGGTAGGGTACCCATTACATCAACGACTTCTATTCACCAAAAAATGTTTTACTGTCGGCGCAAAAAGTATGTGCACCCGAGTTTAAAGATTAATAAAAAAATAACCAGTTGACCTATTTTAATGGGAAGGGTATCAAATTAAAGCTCGTTTAATTTTGCGTTGATTAGGCCTAAAGGATATTTTTTCCATAAAAAAGGAAAAGGAAAAGGCTCACAATCTTTGCTAAGAAAAGACGAGATAAACGCACAACCAGACGATGTCAGGGAAACCTTCTTTGGGACATAGCCCACACATACATAGACGAACTAAATTACCAAAGACAACAAAAGCAAAAGAAAATCCATAAAACATTTATTTCAAATTGTGTAACAATAAAAATAAGGTCACGAATTTCAAGATTCTATAAACGTCGTATATTTTACAAAAACACCAATGTGCATCATTCCGTCTGGTTGTTAAACATAAGGGTCATAAATTTTGTCTAACTTGTTCGCCGATCTTCCTCTTTTCGTCCCGGTAAAAGTCGATCCAATGCCTCTTTACCGAAGACTCGTTGCTTTCGAATCTCTCCATGAATTTTACAACACCGCAGGCGCTGTTTCCCAGTTCACTTCAAGGTTGATATTTGAATAAACCGGAAAACATTAATCTGAATCATCCGTTTCACAAATATCATTTTTCATCTGAATCATCTTACAAATTAATTGGGGCTACATCTTCTCGATCAAACTTCACATCTCTGTGCCACTAATTTAAAATAATTTTGTTGGTATGCTCTACGTACAGTATGATTCCACATATCAGATGTAACTGCATCAAAGGCTTGTTGCCAGAACTTTCAAAATTGGCGTGTTTGGAAAAGCGGGGGAATGATTTATCGCCCGTTTTGTGGGTGGTAATTAACCACAAAGAAATAATGGGAGCCATTCGGAAAGACCACCGTTGCTACTATTTCGTGGTCCCTTACGATTAAAAAAAAGGTTCAAGTCATAGAAGCGAGCAATTAGGGTCCATTTCAAAAGTTAAAACGCTTTAGTCTGTAAATTTAATTTCAGTTAGTTACGGGAGTGTACTGCTTGTAGAAAAATTAATTTCCTTTTTTGTGTACCAAATATAACCATGTTCGTTATTGCGGACGTGTATTGATCTTTTATTGTATGCAATTAAGCTCATAATAATAATAATATGACTTATTGCCCAACAGAATTGGATTCCAATTGTAGGACAATTATTAATAATCTACATAAAGGCTTAAAAGTTAAAATAAAACCGCATCGAGATTTCGATACACCAAAGACAGAGTATCTTAAATCCAAATTTCGGAAAGTGCTAATGAAATAAGGAACTGAACCGAAAATGTGGTAACGCCCAATGAGATCTTACCGATGGTGGAGTCAAAACTTCAAACCCGAATTGAGGGTGAACGGGATGTTGGAACTAAACTTCGATACTGGTAGCCGATTAACAAGAAATCGTCGTTTTAACAATTGAAACACAATATCCCGTTTTGAGAATAATTATTATAATTACAGTTCCAGTTCGACAACCCACAATCTAAGGAAGAGCTGGGCTACCAATATCATAATATGTATAGGTATAGTGTGGTCAAATAAAATAATAATTGTGTACCTCATGATAACACGAACGATTTCGAATTTTCTAATTCTGTGTAGACAATGATTAAATTTTTGTCAATACTCGTCGACTGCAAATGACCTTGTCGCTCGTTGTCTATATTGGTGCAGTTTATTATGTATTAAAAACCCATTGAAACAAAGCGCAGTCACTGCGATAAGCAATTTAAAATATAAGGATAAAATAAACGACTCAATCAAATTCTTATTGGTTATTGAACATTATCTTGCTATCCTCTTCAGTTATCATTCACAATGTATTAGATCGAATTCAAATTAGCAGCTTTGTCATCAAAATTAAATTACGTTTTCCACCATTTCGAGTATTACCGGTAACCATTTTGTAAATTGAATATGTACCTTTGCTCATCATTTCATAAAAACGCAATTTAAATTTTATATTTAACCTGCGAAAGTTTCCACTTTCATTTTTATGATGGAACCTTACGTTTTTCATGGTTCGAGTTCTTTTATACCGTAACTTATTCTGTAGTCAAAATGGAGGGTTTTCTCATTCAGATCTCTTTCTAAAAACCTGAGATGGTCGGAGCCTCGTGTATAAAATGAAGACATTTGTTGGTAATTAATCTAAATTATGTTTCCAGAAGGCCATTTGGTGATATACTATGCGTACGTTTCTTCATAATTAGTGACATCATTTTTAGAGCTCTAATGAATTTGTGCTCTCTAATCCTTTAAATAACGAATTAAATTTGCTAAATTCTATACGAGCAAAGAACGTCGTGTGAGAAATTGGTTTGAAAGGGATACAATTTAGTAAAGTGTATCCTTAAGGCAAACAGACAATTGCAGACTAGTCATCATTTTATTACAAGCTAATCCAAAATTCATATCCATCATGTCAAAGTTGAATTTTTCGTTTACATTAGAAGGCATTTACATTTCCCTTTGAAGTTGTCAAGATAAAAGTTAGAACTGAAATGATATTACTTTACAATTTTCGAAAGAAAGTCATACTTCATGCATTGTTATTCACACAGTTATAATTTGTAACTAGAAAAGCAGAATACAACAATAATAGTAGAACTCGAAAACTATCATTCAAAAACCGTTTCTCTTTGTATAAATAGAGAATATTTTTGTTTGTAGATGCTTTGAATTTAGTACCTACTGACGGCATGGAAGGAATTATGCCAAAGATCTACAGGTATTTAAGTAATTCAAGTTTAAATTAAAAATTTAAATGGGGAGACGGTTTATAATAAACAATTTTCATTCGAAGCGTCAGGAAAATGCGACTAAAACAAAAGACCGTCCGACTGAAATTTACTGAACTATTTTTTTTAATTATTTAGCGCTTACTTGAGATGCTCGAAAGGTTTCTTGCCGGTGTCGACAAAAGAAGGTATTTTCTAACAAAGCACTGAATTGCCATTTATCGCCTCCAATAACATTTTATGTCGATTGATCGAATTCTACAAAGCAAGCTAATACTATAAGTGAAATGAGTTTTCTATTTGATTTAGAAGCGAACAGCAAACGAGTCAGATTATGGTCAGTGGAAACTTCCAGCAGCTACAGCTACTGTACTATAAAACAGAATTAGTTCTCTTTAATGTTGTAGTTATTTAACGGAAACGTTTCCTTTCACGCACATGACATCGTAGAATAGTTCTCTCGATCCACTTGATGTGAAAAAGGAAATTCAATAAACATCTCGACGATGAACTATTGTGGGAAATGTATACTTTTCCTTTGTTAGCTGTGACGTGGTTTTATCAAAAGAGAAGTCAATGTACAAACATTTACAAATAGTACTATCGCTGCTTTTAGAGGGGGAGTGGGGAGGGGGTTACTGAAAGTTCAAGACGAATCTAATGACATTGCATACAATTTTGATGTTTTAGGGAATACCCATAATGGTTTCACACGTGTCTCTGCTAGAGGGTAGCAGATGTGCTTGTTCATTTTACAGTGCCCATAGACCGAAACTTTTGTTGCACTAATTTAACGGTTACATTGGTGTTGATAAATTCTTCTATTGTTCTATCTGTCTCATCCTTGTACGATACATGTATCTTCTGACAGCTTCTTATCGTCTCAGTCAATCGATATCTAGGATGCATGCCACATTCACGTTATTTGCAACTAAGGAGTTGTTGTCGAAACTTACGAATCCTTCCTGTAACTCCCTGAATCGACACTCCAAGGTATTTCAAGATTATTCCCTTTCGGACACTACACTGAGTCACTGACGGAACTCCTCGCGTGTAGTAAAGTGGATTGTGCAATCTTACGAAACTCTCCGTACCCAATAAAACTCTTTTAGATTTGGGGCACATAAAATTAACTCCCCCTTTCGCTCTGCCTTCTATCGATCCCATCGTGCTGATTTAGTTCTTTTTGTTTTGTTGAAAATATAGCTTGACCAGGTCTATGTGCATTGTTGGCTTTACCGGCCAGGTAGAGTTACTAACCCTTGTAATGGTATGTAGGTCTAAATTGGGTTTTATCTTTAGAGTTTTGTAGAGATCGGGAAAGTTGAAATTTTTTGGATTTCAAAGGTTAGAGCAGGTTAGCCATTACATATGTGTAGTCAATTTACAGGGTGTCTAAATTTAGACGGCCTATTTTCCAATAAATTACATGGTTAGTTGAATTTCAAGAATAATTCTTCAAGCATTTGTTGGAATTGTCCTTCCTGCGTGTTTTAATTTCTGTAGACCATTGTTATTATAATGGGTTCCGGAGACGAGATGTCGCTGTAACAAGAGCTAAAGTGGATATCTTAGTTAGGCCTTATCTCCTCTAAACCACTGAATAAGCCTGAGATCATTTCAGTACCGTGGAAAATGCAACCTGGCATATGTTGGTGCTACGTAAGATTGGATTTGTTACCCTAGCTTTTGTTTAATTGGTAGTTCAGAAATGAAGAAAACGAATCAGCAATAAATATGGCCATCTTTCATTTATAAGACGCCATTCTCTGGGTGGTTGTT